GAGAGAGAGAGATGAACCAACAGTCACCTGAACAGGGTCCCCAATTCTTCCGTCTGCGATTACCAGTCCTGCCTGTCCCCGAGGAGGAGGCCGCCCCACTCACCAGGTACCACTGCTCCCTGTAGAGGGGGTCGGGCCAGTAGGCCTGCGGACTGCGCAGGCGCACCCGCTCGCCATCGCCTCGGCCGTCGAGCGCGTCCAAAGCGTCCAGCTGGAACGGCACCGACAGCCGGTCTAGCGCGCGGGCCAGAGTGTCGCCGCCATGCCGTTTCTTGCGCGTCTTGAAATACTGCTGGTCGGCCCACAGAATCTGTAAAGCAGACACGTGAGGTTGATGGCAGCATGACACGGGCCGACAAGTCGCTCAGTACTTCCTCAGCACGAGAACACAGCATCAGCACAGTACGCAGCCGGCGATACAAAGACAGCGCACGTTTGTGCTCACACAACGCCGTGCCATTGCTGGCGGTGCTACAGCTTCACAAGTCGTCGGCACACGTCGCGGCGTCCATCTAGTTCGGCGTGTTCACGGCCGTCGCCTCACGACGGAGTTGAGCCGCCGGGATTCGATTTACGTAAGTACGGTGCCAGTCATCCCGCAAGCAGGAAATGACGCAAATTCAGCGGGCGCGCACCCAGTTACATCATGCAGCCGGCTCGGTGGCCGGGCCGGCCCGAGCGCGGTCGGCAAAGCTTCGCCGTCTCCGCAGCGGCCTGCCGCGACCCGATCAGCCGCGGCCGGCGACTCGCGACCATTCGCTCAAGGCGAGCCGGTCCGGTGACGCGCCCGGGCGCGGCCACAGCTTCTCACCTCGTCCGAGTCCATGAGCCGGCTGGTGTGATGGCGCGCCTGCTCGGTGGAGCGCTTGTGCACGCTGTGACACTCCAGCAGGTAGTGGTCGGTGAGGTCGCCGATCTGCCGCAGGACCTAGGCATCACCGGCGCAGGCACACGTGCCGACACTGTTGCGTGGCGCAGACGGCCCGGGGGCCGTGCGTCGGCGGTGCAGACCAGTCGCGTCACACGCCAGACAGCCTCCGGCAGCGGAGCTGCGCCTTGTGAGGCCGACATGCGCTCGCTCACGACCCCCTCCCCCCCCCCGCGGCGTCAAAACGCCCCGCTCAACTGTCCCCCCCCCCCCTCCCCCCAGAGACGCATCTGCGAACAGGGAGCCGACTCTCAGTCGGACAGGGAGCCGACTCTCAGTCAGACATGGACCCATCCCTCAGCCAGCGGGACCGCTAACGCCGTCGGCCCGGCGCCGCGACCACCTACCGAGTCGACCAGCGAGCAGCCGTGCTCGTCGGCGGCTCGCTCGGCGCGCGCTCGGCCGCCGGGCACCAGCACCGCAAACTGGTTCGTGTACTCGACGCTGGCCCGGTCGCCGGCGGCGACGGCGGCGGCGGCGAGCAGGGCGGCCGCCGCCGCCAGCAGGGCTCGGCCGTCGGCGCCGATCGCCATCGCACCTGCGGCACAGAGAGCATGACGTCACACGGCGCACCCACCGCAACACGCTCCCACTGACCGCGACTCGGCGAGCGCCCACCGCCGACGGCGCAGCCACCAATGCCGGGCGCCTTCCGTCCGGTGCCGAGCGCGATGCGCGCTCGGTCAGCCGTCAACCGCCCACCGCGAGCCGACGCTGCGTAACACGCGGCCGGCAGTGCCGACAGGCCGATCCCGTCGGAGCGGCGCCCGCGACGCACGCACTGTCAACAGCAGCGAGGCCCGAGGCTGTCCTGCCCGGAGCCGAGTCCGCGGCGCACCGACAAGCCGACGGCGCCTTTAATGGCCGACGGCCGAGAGGCGGTGGCGACCGAGTGGTCGGCTCTGTTTATCCGAGAGCCCCGGGCCGGCACGGCGGCACAGCTGCGGCAGCCCGGGAGACGGCCGGCGGCGCGGCTGCGACGGTCCGGGAGACGGCCGGCGGCGCGGCTGCGACGGTCCGGGAGACGGCCGGCGGCGCGGCTGCGACGGTCCGGGAGGCGGCCGGCGGCGACGGCGCGCCGACAGCAGGCGAAGAGCGGACGGACGTCACCGCATATGCAAAGGGATATTGCCTATGGCCTTCAGGAAAGACGCCCTAGAGTAAAAGATGCAGATGTTTGCGGCGTAGTTCCTACTTCAGCTGGCGTTTCTTCTTTTCGCCGGTAGTTTTACCCTTGTGCAGTGCCGTTTATGCATTTGTGGACTTGAGATGGGCAGTATGGAAAGCAAGTATTCACCGGTGCAGAAACGGGACGTCCATGGAAGAGTCACTGGCCCAAACCGCTTTAGTAGGGGCACATAACGTACTTGTGTCCCCAAAGTTTGGGCTTCTGAGCATAATATGGTGTTGGGCCTCCATATGAAGGCATATGCAACGCAAAATGTACACGCTAAAAACACCGTCGCGTGCTTAAGCGCTAGATGGACCGTGTCGAGCCCATGTGACCCACTGCAGCCACCTGCGACAGAGCACGCGAAGTTTCCGTTTCTAGCCCGATTACAAAGTACACTGTTGTCAGGCGATATAGCATGTGGCCTAGTCTCTATGATGTCAGGAACTGGACGGAAGCAGATTCTGAATTGTGTGTGGCCTTTAAATGAGTTACAGACCCTATCAAATCCCTTACCGAGCTGCGCCAGCAGCATCTCAAGCAAGGCGTTTCGATCAAGCTGGCGGAAATGAACATGCTTTTCGTTCTTTGCTTGTCCGGGAGGAGCCTAGGCGAGCGTTCAGCGTCTGGTATGGTAGCCTGAAGAGGTTCGTGGCTTAACAAGAATCTCCCGCCACGTTGCAAACGTGACCAGCTGCTTACTGGCTGGCATTGCGCTTAAACAGCAGTGAGTGCTTAAGTTGGACGAGAGACATCAAATGCAAGCATACCCACAACAGCATGCAGGCAAACAAAAGAAAACTAGTGCACGTGGTCCTCGGCGCTGGCTTATAAAGGCGGTCTGTCGCCACGGAACTCTGCATCCGCCGCCGTCGACTGCGGCCGCCGGGCTGAGCCTCGGGCCTCATCAAGGCGCTGATACTGAACAGTCATCCATTCCCGGCGCCGTGTGCAGTGTTGTGTTCTGTTTCCCAGTGCGCTGTTTAGATACGTCATTACGTGAGCATGTTTTTCTCAATTCTGTTCTCGCATCACATAAAATAGCCACCCAGCGGAAAATCTTTTGCACCGGAAACCATAATCAGCTTGACGTACTCACCTTCCGGCAGCTTGAAGAAAAGCCTGAGGTAGAAAAAGGCTTCTCATTGGCCCGCGTTTGAAGTCAGACGTCACAAAGCAGCGTCACTCGCTACTCACTCGGCATGCGTCGGGGCGTCGGGTACGTCGATTTCCACCGATTAGGTGCTAATACAGCGCTGTGAGCTCGGGTGGGCTTCAATCGATGAATGTCAGACCAGAGCGGTCATGTGTAAGTTACTGCTGATTCTGCCCTCTGGCTGTAATTGTGCATGGCACCGGCCCAACGGCCCCGTCAGTGGCGCCACGTTGACGTCAGCCAATTTGGCGCACGACTCGCCGGTGGCTTCACTAGCGTAAGACGATCTTTGGCAGTTATAGATTGAACGATGGTCCGCAGTATGATCGTGAAATAGTGAAGCTAGACCGTGACTTAGCACGACTTCCCACATGTGATTACAGCTTCCGCAGAATTCACCCGAAAAAAGAGAACAAGCGTTCCGTTCACGATTTGGGATAATATGGTGATGATATAAATCAAAGTTTGCAGTCTTGGAAGGATTTTGCGACTGAAAGAGTTCGGTCATACCTTATTCGTCGGTTTGCTAGTGTGACGCAGACGGCCTACCGCTCAGACGAATTATTCTAGCTGATCTGACGAAACATACACAGTCGGTCTAAAGTGTGGGATAACACGCATGCTGATCGCTAGACGTCTAGAAGCCTTTTAGGAACACCAAATTGGTGAATGATGGCAACGCCTTATCCTATTAGTTGGTACTGTATTGTCTCGATACGATTCTTCCTTTCCTCGTGATACTCGAGTGATGCCGCCGACTTGCAATGTTATGTTTGACGGCGTCACGAATATACGCATTTTCCACGCTACTGAAACGTGGGCCTATCCAAAACTGAATAATACCTCGGCAGCTCGCTCTGCACTGGCAGACTGCATTTGTGTCATTGGACCTTTACGACGCACTCAGCTCCTGAGGTCATATGGCGTCGCCTGCCTCTCACCCTGGCAGGAAGGGCGGGCACCGCGGGGAATCGAACCCCGTACCTCTGGTTTCCCAGACGCGTAGTGGTTAACGCAGACGCGTCAACCACTACACTACGGGCACCCAAGTGCTGGCAGATTCACGCACGGTCGCGGGCGCCGCGCTCGGTCACAACGGGGCTCTGGGCGGGAGCCCTCGACCGCACCCAGCGCCAACTGCGACGTGGACTGGGTGTTCGCCGGCTGCGGCGCCACGTCCCCAGCCTCGCTGGCTTCTGGGGCCGCGCCGCAGACGGCACGGCACACGCGCGCCGCTCGAGCGAGACAGCGAGGGTGCCGGCCGGCCGTCGGACCACTGTAAACAAGCGACGCCCCCCGAACGGGCGCACCGGGCGCAGCGCCGCGCGGCCGCGCCAGTATCAGCGGGGCAGCTCACTCCGGCGGCGCCGGAGCTGGGGCTAAACAAGCGACGTTCTGGAGCTGACGTGGCGCCGCCGGTCGGCCGCGTCACGGCAGACACGTGGAGCGAGCTCACGAAAGACAGCCGCCAACACGACCACGGCGCGCGTGACGAGAGCGGCCCGAGTGCGCACTTACCGTCCGTGGAGCCACCGAGCGCACGTTGGAAATTGGGGCAATATTGCATGGTCCCATGATATGCATAAATATTCATCATTCAAGAAGATTTAGCGAACATGTCACTATGAGCGACAGCCGCCGTTGATCATTTCAGTTTCGTCAGCTGTTTTGCAATCGTCATGTACGTATGGGAGACAAAGGGAGTGCTCATTGCTCTCAAACCGCCCTATATCGTCTCGCGACATGTCGCCAGTCATCTCATGCCAATCGGTGTATCCCAGTGATGACGATTGAGACTTCAGGGGGTTCTTTTACTCATCCCACCACGGTTTTCGCTCCCGTCTCTCCACAGAAACTGCGCTTCTCACCGATCCGATCATATCCTTGCCGCCACTGACCGCCAGGATCTTACTCATCTTTGCCTTCTGGATCTTTCCGAGTGCATTGACGCGATCGGCCAAACAAGGCTTTTTCTCAGGCTTCAAGCCTACCCTATCAATCCTACCTGACTCTCTTCTTACACCTGTGATCAGACCAAACAAAGGTTTTTCTCAAGCTTCAAGCCTACTCATCCACCCCACCTGGCTCTCTTCTTATATCCGTGATCATACCCGATCTGTCTGAACTGCTGACGGCTGTGGCAACTTACACCTTCTCAGGCCCCTGCCCAATAATATAAATATCAATACACTCCAAAGATCCTCTCTAGGCCCACTCGTCTTCCAGATCTTTGCCAACGACATATCACTGTCCGTTCCTGACGCGCACTTAGTCCAGTACGCTGATGATACCCGAATTTTGATATCTGGAAGGAAAAAGACTTCTTCCCACAGGTCATGGCTACAATGGAGCATACGCCTGGGTCTTTGGACATCTGATTCCACCCCCACGGTGTGAAAATGGGGATAAAATGGACCTTATGCTCTGCGGTGCCCATGAACACTATCGAGGCATGGCTTACATTACCGTTCGGTTCTGCAAGGACGCAGTGCGTGAGGTTCAGACCGTCCGGAATCTTGGCGTAGTATTCGACAAGCACGTTACACGGGACTCTCACGTATCTGCCCTCGTCAAAAAGTGCAGCTATATCGTCACAGGGCTGTCCCACGTGCGCCATAAAATCCCGCCTGATCTGCTGCCCGCCCCGGTCATTGCCTTGGTCCTCTCGCACGGTCGCCATTGCCTCGCCGTCTGCGGCAGCGGGTCGGAAAAAAAAACATGACTCCGAAAGATTTTGAGCTTTGCGTTGCGCGTAATACCGGTAGGCTCTACAGACGGCACTCCATTTACTAGTTTCACAAAATGCGTGCTACCGGTGAACCGCAAGCACTTGCCTCTCCGAAACAGACACCTCTTCTCTTCGCCCACGCTCTACACGTCAGGACACTGATCTAGCTCTCTGGTGTGTGAGAACAGAGGCAGGTAGGCGGCGCCTCCTGCACAATGTCTCACAACTCTATGACGCTTTAGCACCGGAACTCAGCACGTTGCCAATCGCGTCATTCAGGTGTGAACTGTGCAATCGGTGCGTGCGTGCGTGCGTGCGTGCGTGCGTGCGTGCGTGGTGCGTGCGTGGTGCGTGCGTGCGTGCGTGCGTGCGTGCGTGCGTGCGTGCGTGGGTGGGTGCGTGGGTGCGTGGGTGGGTGCGTGCGTGGGTGCGTGCGTGCGTGCGTGAACTCGAGGTGTGCTTTGAATGTGTGCGTTT